CAGTCAAGAAGGGCCTGTTGCTCACTACTCAAGTTGATGCCACACTGCTGAAGCGCTCGCAGGACGGCCTCTTTGCATGGCAGGGCTGACGGCTCAGGAGCAGACTGGACCCTGGATTCAAGGTCCTTTTGCAAGGCCGCCACTTCATTCTGTTTGTCCGTAAGCTCCTCCTGAACACTTTTCATCTGATCTAAGAGATCCGCATACGCAGACTTGGCGCGGTCTATCTTAACCTGTAGGCCCGCAGATTTTTGAATGAGCTGACGGAGCTCATTAGTGCTGGCCTTAAACTTGCGGGTCGCAGTGATCACCTGCTCGGCTGCTGTGGGCTCTGGTGTCTGAGGCTCCAGGCTGGCAATCGCTTGCTTCAGGGACTCAGGCAACTGATCCATGTGCGCTTTGACCAAGGACTTCAAGTCTGCAGGCTCACTCGGGCTGGGGTCATTGAAGCCCAGCTGCTGCAAGAGGGCTTTCTGATCGGCATTTGCAGACGCCCACAAGGCCTGGGCAGCATCACCCTCACGCTGCTCCTGCTGCTTACCTTTGCCCTTGCCCTTGCCGATGCCTCCCCCAACGCTTTTACGCGGAAGCCCCGGCGGGGGCTCAGGTTTGTCCTCTTCCTTGGGCTTCCAGCCAGCTGCGAGAAGCCCTTGCTGCACTGCAGGCGTAAATTTCTCCCAAAGGGAGTGCAATGCACGATGGATCTTGCCGTCAGGCCGGCCCTTCTGTGGAGCGGCCTTGGGGCCCTTATTCTTCCATACACGGACCGGATCATTTCGGCTTGCCCAGTCCGCCCCTGCAACCGCAGTCGGTTTCTGCTGCGTGGCCTTCGGCCACTGACATCCACACTTCTGGCAGAACGGGTTCGACCCAACACGATCCTGAAAGATCCAACTGCTGGGCCCGCACTTCTTGCACACGTGGTAAGCACGCGACATGTCTGCACTGACTTCTCGCGCAAGTCGTTGCGCGCCTGCTGCCTTCCTTCAAGGAAACTGTACGCAAGAAAGTGGCAACAAAGGGCGTTTTTGCAAGCAAGGCCCTCAAAACAAAACTTTTCCAAGAAAATCAAGCGATCTGTGCAAGCAAGATGTTTCAAGGTTGCAAGTTGCAGCGGTGTTCAAGCAGATGGCGCAAAGAGCGCCTGACAAACTACGGCTCCCGCCCAGCCCTCGCCGGCTAATCCGGCCTACGACCTCTACGAGGTTACGGTTTGGGTTCTGTTCGAGAGCACTAGAATGCAGGCCTCAAGGCTGGCCACGTCGGCACCTCAAGTTTGAGCACTCACGGCAACTTGAGCCAGGCTACGGAGGAGCAAACTTTTCTTCCCGTGCGGACAGCAGATGCCGCGGCCGATGGCCGCCTTCCAACTACGAACCTAGAAACTGTACAGATCAACAGCACAACACTCTACACTACGCAACATCCGCATCGCAAGCGGGGACTGCACCACTACGGGAGTCCCACCAGCTCTCCCAAGGAAAGAAGGTGGGACTGTGGCACACAAGAGGCGTAAGAGCAGCGCTGGACCATGCACCAAAGCTCAGAGGTGACCAGCATGGGCATCCAGGGAGCACAGCAAGCCTTGTAAGCTTAACAAGGCCACCAAAACAGACAAACAAGCCTGTTAGGTCTTGCTGTTGCACGCTTGAGCTAGCTGGACCACGAAGCAGGCGGGTGGGAGCCGACAAATTCAACGGGCATGCACGACAAGCCACCTCGCAATTTCAATCCTTACAAGGACGCCAGCACCAGTGTAACACGAGACTGGTGTGCAAGAGGTCAAGGAGCCCTGCATACAAGCAGAGCTGTGCAGCTTAAGGCCCTGGTGTTGCCAGAATGGCAACTTGTGCAAGAGAGTTCGCCGAAAACCAGCAGCAGCAGCCTTTGTACACTTTCTACACCTAACAAACTACCGCCGACTGTACACAGCGCCACAAGTGATCGCATGAACACGCCAAGTGCCCACGCCATCACCTGTGAGTTTCCAGCGTAGTTTTTGACAAGTTTCGGACCAGAAAACCAAAAACCGTGCCCAGCACAGGTAGCAGCTGTAGGCAGTGAGGTGGCCTTAGGAAGAAGTGCACATATTCATCAAACCACCGGGTGATACCCGACTGCTGCTCACCATGGGATCGCATGCAAGGACAGTGCCAGCAACGGCAGCAGCTGCAGTGGCCAAGGCCAACTACACGTGACCACGTAACAAGAGTTACACATACACCTATTTTTATTGCAAACCAAGCGCCTAGCAGGCTCAAGTGGAAGGCAGCGCTAATGCAGCCAGCAAGGCGCAAAAGCGGCACATCTCAACCACGATGCTCACGTAAAGGGCAACTTGGCTTGTTTTGGCGTAGGTTTGGATTTGCCTGAGCTGTTGGGCTTCGCCACCATGATGTGGCAAGATGTTATCCAACGGCCATTACAAAACATCACAGTTGTTCTGTTGCTAAGGCCCGAAGTCGGGTAATGCATATTCATCAACCAGGCAAGGAAGCATGCGATCACAACCCAACCACCGGCGGGACTAGCCTAAACCTATAACCCTAAGGCATAACAGGCGGGTGCAGCCAACAGCGCACACCGAGCATGTGACCTGTAGGGCAGCAATTGAGCATGCGGAAAGGTAGCCTACATCAGATGAAAGCCATGGCGAGCGTTGTTGCAGCCATCAGTCGCATGACCATCGTGGACCGCCAATGACACGGGTGCAGCCAGCAAGCGCACTCCAGCTTCCACCAGACATGTTTGAGGTTGCTTTTTTTTTTTTTGGAAACCCTAGCCCAACCCTTGAAACAGCCCGAGAAGTTCACCGAAACGACAAACGGGTCTGTTTGGAGGTGTCCTTAGACTTGGCTTTGGGCTTGCACTTAGGTTTGGGCTTAGGTTGGGCAGAGCAGGGGAAAACAGAACTGCCACCGCCTTGCTGCACAACCTCCGCAGGGATTGACTCTTTGGCCTCAAAGGATTCCTCAATGGACCGGCTCGTATCAGCTTCAACCTGGGCCATGGAACGCACTCTCGTTTGGGCGTTAAGTTTACGCCCGAGCCCTTTGCAAGTGGACTTCATGACCGACGACGACGAGGTGGCACCAAGTTTAACCATGGCAAGACACTTGGAGCACATAAAGAAAGAACCCTTATTAACCATGTCATGACTGCCATGTATGCCCCAGCAGGCGGGAACCGGGGCAGCTCTGTCGCGACAAGGATTGGACATTTTGCGATCAAAAACCTCGGGAGGGTTACACTGCTCCACATAAAGCTGGCAAACGGTGCACTGGATCGCAAAATTGTTGCTGGCTTTGGCCTCACAATCCTTCCAAACATGACCCAGCCCAGGGTCCGGGTTGGCGAGAGCCTCCTTAAGACGTTGTTTTTTGTTGGGTTTGGGCTGACTGCTGGGCTTGGACCCGCCTTTGGGCTTACCAAACTTGCCCTGGGAAAAGATCGAGGGCTTAGCATCCTGGGGCGAAGGCTGGGAGTTGAGGCACCTATCAAAAACCCAAGGGAAACCCTTATCTTTTTTGTGCTTGAGGACAAAGCCAATTTTCTTAGCCAGGTGCAGGCAAATTTCTTCGCAGAGCCCATCAAGAACAGGAAGATTCGGCTTAGTCGCTGATTGGAACACTTGCGCAGCCCTTTTGCCACATAAAGAATCAACATCCTCGTTCAGCAAACGCCGCCATTCAGGGATGCCTTTTTCAGCATAATAGGAAGAGTCTTTATGACTGGGCACCCAAGTGATATTAGCCCTTGACCTGTCACCCCAAATTTCACCCCAAGGGACCGGGCCTTCAAGGGGCGGCATGTTTTTCCGTAGAATGTGTGTGATTGCCTGACAGTCCACCGTCAAGTCGAAAGCACCGGAGACACGACCAAAGAGCTCAAAGGCAGCCTGTTGTTCCGCACTGGCCACCGACAGGGGCTCTTCAGGAAAGCACGTGATGCTAGCAACACGCTTCGGCCCATCCGGTGCAAGCTCATATGCCGCAATGGCCCAAGCAACACATGCCGCGCGGTGGTCACGGGCACCTGGTCCACCCGACGCATCTGAAGCAAAAACAAGATTATCACTATTAAGGACCCGTCGGCTGCTCCACAAACCCTCACAAACCAAACCCTTCTGCTTATCCGTACCTCCCAGCGACGTGGCACGCTGTGGCAACAAACCGCGCAACCAAAGACATGGCCACGGGAAACTGCGGCGGGAGGCCGGGAAATGCGGTGGTTCAGGATACTTAGAAACAAGAAAAGGGCAGTCCCACAGAACATGCTGTAAGCTGAGAGGACAGGCACACAGTTTACAGTACCCGGGCTTATTCTGACCTAAAAGTGCTCCTTGCCAAAGGGCTTGCAAACTAGTCGCCATACTCTTATTGAAGAATTTGCGCTTAAGCAAGCGGTGAGGGACCTTCAAGTCGGCTCCAGAGGCTAAGGATTCACAGGCTTCCAGATGAGATATACGAAGCAGCCTAGCGGCCTCCCACTTAGGCAAAAGCCAATGCCACACCCGACGGGTGGCGTCAACACTGGCCCAATCAATGATAAGGAGACACTCGCCGCACGTCCAACGGTGGGACTGGGGCGCTTGCACACCTAAATCCATCAAGTATGCCAAAGTGGCCGCCAAGGGCCCATTGACGCGCTTCCAAGGTTGGGGCGACTCTGAAAGCCAAGCCCAAATGTTGGCCCAAGTCGATCTGAATTTCTCCGGGTCCGAGATCTGCCAACGACGGAAAACCCTGGCAACCGCTCGAAAATGCTGCTTCAAAATGGTGAGGTGCGGGTCCTCACACTTGTGACGCAACAAAAGGAAAGAGACATCAAGCGAGCCTAACTTTTGGCGGCCGATGGCCTTGGCACAAAGAGTCCTGTACCACTTACGCCGCTTAGGACTGACGCCTGCAGCCTGATGCCCCCAAAGACCTGCAGAGCATATGGAGGCCCGGGTAATGCGCACTTTATGTGAAAAGTTGGCAAGGCCCAACTTGCGCAGTTTAGACGCCCTGCCACTGGCCTTAGCTCGCCTCATCTCAGCTAAACCCAAAACCCTGCGGCGTGCACCCCCCGATGTGACACCTAAGTCCCTGGCAAAGGTGCGGACTTCAGGGTCTGTGTCAACTCTGACAGCCTGCAAGCATTTAGCCGCTTTAGAGGACGATGCAACAAATGAAGTCTTATCCAATGACAACTTGGCACCAGTTGCCTCGATGCTGGTACGCAGGCTGCGAAACAGCAGCACAGCGTCTGAGGCAATCTGCTTGGCCGAGGCACCGACACAGTCAAGGGACAGATCATCTATCCATACGTCCAAGTTGGATGTCGCACGCTTGGAAGTGGCCGCAACTGCAATGGGGTGCACAACAAGTTTGCTGATAGAAGGGGCGGCCGGGCACCCAGCCAGGACCCCCTTCGTGGGAGTAATGGCCGGGCACAAAGACCCTTCAGATTGAAGAAAACGCGGGCCCATGTACGTAAGAAGGGCCTGGTGCAATACCAGGGGAGGGTACCCCAAAGAAAGGCCAGAAGAAATGACATCGTTAAAACGGCATCTATCATAGAAAGTCTCCATATCAATGAAAATTGTAACTAAGTGCTGACCGGACTGTCTAGCCGCCTCGCCTCTAAGTAAGCGTCCCAAAGCGACGTCCAGCACTTGACTCCCAGGCATTGCCTTATCCCAGACCGCGGCTTTACAGTACTGGAATTGCCAATCGGAGACCAATTTCCACCTCATGCGCACCCAAGTGCGGTAAAGCACGTGCAAAAGTGCTATTGGTCTCTCCCGCTTCTCGCTTTTTGGGAGGAGGGCTATAAGTGCAAACACCATCTGGGCAGGCCAAGTGGCCTCAGTTTCACAGTGGTGAAGAAATGAAATGATGGATGCAACAGCCGGTCGCTGCAAATTTTTTAACATCTCAAATGTCCACCCGTCTAGACCTGGTGCTTTGCTGGGCACTCGCTTGAACGCCGCAACCGCCTGATCTAGGGGAATCGGCCCAAGCTCCTTGGCCTGCATTCGGGCACGTTGCCTGAGATCACTGAGGAGCGCCGGGTCGACCCCACCCGGCGCGGACCAAAGCTCAAACCACTGCCTCCACCTAAGGTAGATGCGCTCCTGCACAGGCTGGTGCAAGAAAGGGCGCAGCTGGACAGCTTCATCCGCTTTAACACTGGTAAAAAGGCCACGCAAGCCTTTACACGAAGCCTGCTTTAGCCACTTACCGTAGCTTGCGCTCTGCTTCTGCATCCACAATTTGGAATGGTGACGAAATTGTTGCTCCGATACCTGAATCAACTCTGGAAAAGCCGAAGGCGTAACACCTTTAAGAACAGCATCGAGCTGGACTTGGAAAACACTGAGCTCGGCTGTGGATCCGTGCCACATCAATTCAAGCTGCGACCAAAATGTGTGGCCAAAGGGTGCAGGACAACTCCGCTTCACCGAAAGTTCCAGCCAAACAAGGACCCGCTTCCAGAAAGAGGCCTGAGCCCCCCCCCAAGCACCCACAGGTGAGGTATGGCGCAGGAGTTTGTCACGGCGAAATTTGGGCAGGCAGCCTCGACCTTGAGTGCAGCCATAGACCGATAACTCAACAGAGCTACTGAGCTGCTCAAAGGTATGTGTGAGGGCCGGCTCAGGTATGGAGCCACCCCAGTGCCCGGCACAGGCAGACTCCAGATCAGGCTGAGGGCCAGAGCAACCTGCCAAAGGAGGCTCAAAGGGTTGCGGCATAATGGGCATCGGCTTGAAACCCACAAGCTGGGGAAACCTCAACTCGCACTGCCTCCTGTCAATGCACCAATGTAAGGCAGCATGTGGAGCAAACGGAGTGATCCAGTCAGCCCGGACCGAAACTCCCAAGGCCAGCCCTTTGGAAACTAAACCAAAATCAATGTTACCACCCCCTGTGCACGTGGAAGCCCCCGTATGGACCCATTGGCCCCGAGCTTCCTGCGCCAAACTGGTGGTCACCAGAACACTGATGTCTTCGTTGAAGTCGCCTGCAACAAGGAATTCACCTTGCAGCGACCTAAGGAAGGGAATCAAATTGGAAAGAATTATGGCATTAGTCGGGCCCCGGAAACCCTCCCCTGTCTTCAAGTAAACATTGACGAGGAAGATATCAACACCCCGGATGCGCAGAACAACAGACTGAAAACCAACACCTTGGTGAAGGAAGTGGTGGCTTTTGCGGACATCAAGGTGCTTCTTAAACACAATCGCAAGGCCTCCTGAGTTACCACCTCCCCCAGTGGGGTGACCTGGCAAGCTGAAGGCCTGATAGCCAAAGGCCCCAACATGAGTGGCCAGCAAATCCCCTTGCTCCTCCTTAATGTGTGTTTCCTGTACCAGCCAGAGGTCTGGCCTGATCCCCGCAAGAAAGGTTGCTAAGGACTTGCGCCACTTGGTGACATTGGAGCTGACTAACAGCAATTTCTTTCCGTCGGCATTGGAGTTAAGATTTGCGATGACATCCCTGATAGCCGAGGCTGCAACGTGCCAAGGAACATCATCACCGGCTTCAACAGCAAGCTCAGCAGCAAACCAGGGAAAGGTATCTTCAAGAATATATTGGCCTGCCTCTAGGGCCTCCACAGCTTGAAGCACTTGCACATGACACATATGCTCCAGCCCTTGCAGCAAGCTGGCCCAAAGGGCCGAAACCCCTGGATCACCAGACTGAGCGAGAGCACTGCCCGACCAAGTTGAATGCACAAGCACCTGGTCAGCCTGAGTGCAGCCTGCAGGGCGCACAGCAACGCCTGGTTGGGACATCGTATGTCTTTGGTCACCAGCCTCAGGGCACGCTGGAACCGGATCATCATGTAAGTTCGGGCCACACCCGGAATTCTCAGACAACGGGATGTATTGCTCCCTCCAGGGTCCTCGGCCAGCGGCCGCACGTCCTCCTGCGGGCCAATCCTCCGCCTGTGTGATATACCCACCTCCTGGACCCTGGAGGGAAACTCTATTAAGGGAAGCAATCCCAAAATTCCGACCCCCAGGACCCTCGCCCAGCGGGCACACCTCCTCCTGAAAGAAAACACCACCACTATAACAACCACCCTCCTCCTGGGCCCTGGGGGCCCTCATGGCATCAAGATTGGCAGCCGCGCAACCCAAAAGATGCTGGTCCTGGTCAGGCCGCCCGTGCAATTCACCAGTGATGCCGCAATGCCCAGGAGTAGCATCCCAGCAATCAAAATTGGGGCTAGGGTCCCAAGACTGGGAGACACACGGGGTAGGGAACGGAAATGCAAATTCATGGCCAGCCTGCGACCTGTTGCCCTCAACTTCAACCATTTCTGCATGGACCGAAGCAACTGCACAAGGGTCAAGCAAATCACCACCGTGAGAAATCGGATCAGAAAAAGTCCCTGAACCCTCAAGCACGTGTCGCAATCGGCGGTTGAGGCGCCGGCGGGCCCGTCTGGATACAGGGGCTTTCCGATTCGTGGAAGGCCCATACGAGAGTGCTCTGATACATGTAGGCCTCACAGTTGCGAGCTCCTGCGAACCAGACACCTCGCCCTGTTCATCACACTCCTGAGCAGCACTGGCAGGAAAGAAACGTGGACCTGACAAGTCAGCGGATATGTGAGGCTGGCCCTCGGTGCTGGTGGGGCGGTCCGCCCAGCGACACAAACACCCTGGGCAGTAGCAGAGTACATCACTGACAGCCGTGGCAAGGTCCTCACATGGACGGTGTAACATGACCTGGCTGCTGGCTGAAAGAAAACTCCTAATCCAAGGAAAATCCTGCTGACCAAGCACTGCATTCTGGCCACAACTCAAACAAGGAGGCCACCCTTGCACAAGCTCTTCAAGCTCCGATGCATATCCACTCGCAAAGGCCAAATTGGGGTTAAGGAAAACTCCCGAAGGCGCACACGGGTTCGGGCTAGAAATGGGCCTGGACTCAAGGGTGCCTTCATGCCTCCGGGCGGAAGCACAAGCACTCCAGCACAGTGGCAAAGTGGACGGCCTGTGGCGGAAGACCCTGGCCGGCACTCTGTAATCAAGGATCCTGGGCACAGGTTGGCCTGAAAGCGCACAAGATTCAAGAAAAAAGCCACGGCGACAATGAAAGCTCTCACTCTGACTCGGCATGCAGTGCTGGCACAAAGCTGGCTCGGGAGGCCTAGGGGCAAAGGGGGGCACTGACATAGGCGTATGGCAGCATGCACAACACAAGTCCTGACATGCAAGCTGCATCGCCCCTTCTTTCAAGCCCGAATTTCGAACCGAAGACCTAGCAACCCAACCTTGCGCCACCGAAGGCTCTGCCGAGAATGAGTGCGCAGCAAAATGAGGAGTAGCACAGCTTCTAGCCGACGCCACCTGAAAGCAAGGATTACAAACGCACATGCTGCTGGACCCAACGTGGAAACTCACACTTCGTGAGGAGGCCAGGGGCGCAACACAGAGCGAACATGTTGTGTTGACAGCGGTCTGCTGGTTTTGCAAAATCTGAGGAGCGGTGCGGGTCTGGGGCCAACAAGGAAAAGCAGGAGCCTCAGGCACATGCAAGTCACTTCCCAAGGAACTCGTAACCCTTACCCAGGAAGAGAACCCCGGAATCCTCCTAAAATCCCCGGAACCCAGACCCTCACCTGCATCCTACAGATCCTCCTTCTCAGCGGCAGCCTCATGCGTCTTTCTTGGCGACCTGGATCTGGTGCCACGCTGTCCGTTCTGCGCTGGCTCAGATTTCTTGGGCACCTCTTGCGTGTTGGGTGCTGCGGCCTTAAGGTCAAAAGCCTGGCTGTCAGGGGGTCCATGTGTGCCGGCACGCACTGCGGCAATCTTTGCTTCCTGCTCTTCAGTCAAGGAAATCCCAAACTTCTCAAGAAACTGCGCAATTTCGCCGTTCAAAGATTCATCTTGGGCCAGGACTTTGGTGGTAAGCTCCTCGCCCGCATCTGCAACCTGTTGCTGCGCCTCTTCAATTTTGGTCTGCAACTGTTTCATCTCGGTCAGTCTTGCGTTGTATTGCTCCTTAGCTTGGTCGATACGCTTCTGCAAGCTAATCTTCTTGTCTCCAAGCAATTTCAGTGCAACCGTGGCCTTACGAAAAGCTGCATTTGCTGCGGTTCCAACTTCATAAGAGGTGGGAGCCGGAGTTTGCTCCGGCGGCTTGAGGCCTGCCTTGAGCATGAGCTCTTTCTGCTGCTCCGTGGCTTCAGACCACAGCTTCTGCTTAGCCTCGCAGGCCTCAGATGCATCCATGTCAACATCAAAATCGCCGAGACCCGGAGGCGGAACAACCGCTGCCGCGGATGGAGGCCTCCACCCGGCTTCTTCGATCGCCAGTCGGGCTTCGGGAGTCAACTTCTCCCACACTGTGTGCAAAGCGAGTGCCGCCTTGCCGGGCTTTCGCTCCTTACTCTGCCTGGGCGGCCTAAATGAGGTCTCAGATGCCTCATCACCGCTCTGTACAAACCTAACCTTAGGCTTTGCCTGTCGAGGCCACGCTGCACCACAAACTGCACAACACGGGTGGGCTGAAATGCGATCAGCATACAGCCAGCTCTCTTTGCACTTCCTGCACACGACATACGGCCGGAAGCGCGACATGTCCGCACTGACTTGCACCAGTCCTTGTGCGTCTGCTGCCGTCCTTCAAGAAAACTGTACGCAAGAAAGTTTGGCAACAAAGGGCGTTTTTGCAAGCAAGGCCCTCAAAACAAACTTTTCCGAGAAAATCAAGCGATCTGTGCAAGCAAGATGTTTCAAGGTTTCAAGTTGCAGCGGTGTTCAAGCAGATGGCGCAAAGAGCGCCTGACAAACTACGGCTCCCGCCCAGCCCTCGCCGGCTAAACCGGCCTACGACCTCTGCGAGGTTACGTTTGGGTTCTGTTCGAGAGCACTAGAACGCAGGCCTCAAGGCTGGCCACGTCGGCACCTCAAGTTTGAGCACTCACGGCAACTTGAGCCAAGGAGCAAACTTTTCTCACGCACGCTTCGCAGAAGCAGCCCGTAGGCTTGTCCGACATGCACAAATTAACTCCAAGTATTTTGGAGTCATCCGCGTTTGCGGGCATCGCCAAAGTGGCGGCAGTGGCTACTCCTACCCTGAGCTACAGGTTGCCTGACCTACCTGAGCTACTGGCAGGAGTGGGTAGCCACTTCCTGGGACTGGGGAGCCACATCCCAGTGAAACAGGACGAAAGTCCAACAGGGAGGGAGCCTCACCCGGAGGGGAGGAACCCTTCACCCTGCAGAGCCTCCTGCCTCTGCAAAGGAGAGGGGAGGCTAGGAGGCCAAAAAGCTCCTGACCCGCTCGATGCCCGGGGGTCATGAAATGGGCTTGCATATGTTCGATTGTAGGGCACCCGACCCTACAAGCGTAACAAAAGAGCCCATCCGGGCTGTGGACTGCACGGTGGGGTCCATACGAGGGTGGTGCCTCCACATCCTCTACAATAGCTGAATCCGAAGAAGGCTCCTGAGGGGGGGGGCACCCCGTCCCTCCTGTAGACCCCGCAGCCTCGCTGAGGGAGGGCTCGCTGGCCTCGGGGACCTCCGGCTGCAGGGCCGAGGGCCCAGTGGCCATGAGGGTCCTTTCGCCCTCGCGGAGTTGGTCGCCCATGGGCAACCGCAGGTCCAGGACCGCCTCGTCTGGCCAGACCTGGAGGCAGTCCAAGCCCCCCAGCTTGAGCCTGTTGCGGCACAGGCTGAGCACCTCAGAGGCAAGGGCTGAGGGCTTCACTGCCAGGGCGATCCATCTCGCCTCCGGCGGTTGGCGACACTCTATGTCGAGGCGCATAAACTGGGTCGCCGCCGGGGCAACGCCTGGGACATCGCCCCTGTTTCTCTTGCGAGGGGCTGCTCCTCCCTCGGGAGGATGGGGAGGAGGAGGGAGGGGAGGAGGCTCCTCTGAGTCCCCTCCCCTGGGCCGTAGGAGACCGGGGGGCCAGTTGGCGAGGTCTCACGCCCCGGGGGCTTAGGTGGCGCCTCCTGAGGAGCAGGATCCTGCTCACTGGCTGTGCCAGCAGGTCCCGCGGAGGACGTGTCGCGGCTGCTGGCCGGACCACCTGTTCCTTCCTCGACCCTAGAAGGGGAGGTTGAGCCTGTTGAGACCGGAGCCCCGGAAATGGGGTCTTCCTTGGTGGTGGTCTCTTCTTTGGCAGGCCCCTCCTCCATAGGTGAGGCTTTGGGCACCTCGGTAGCCTCTGCTCGGAGGGTGCCTTCACGGCACTGGGACCCGGCGCAGCAGAGGGTGGGTCAGGCTCCATCTCCTCTCCAGAGCTGCTGGGCGGGTCGTTGGTCGACCTGGCCCGGGCCGACGACTTTACCGCCGTCGTTTTCTGAACGATACGGCGGGACCAGGGCAGCATCTCTTCCTGGTCTTCGGGCTCCTGAGGCTCCGTCGGTGCCGTCGGGGGGCTGCTCTCGGAGCTTTCCGTGGAGCTTGTAGAGGCTTTGGCTGCCTTTCCCGCCCCTCCGCTGTTGGCGCCAGGCCGCCTGGAAGGCGGAGGGGTGCGGACTCTGGGCGGCTTGCCGTCCACCGAGGCCTTGGGAGGGTCGGACCCTTCCCTTTCGGCCTTTAGGGCCTCCCTCTGGCTGCGAGGGGGACGTTTCCGGTTCCGCACAAAGCTGGAAACCGAGACCCGCCTCGCATCGGGGTTTTTCTTGGCACGCTCGTCCACATGCTTCCGGTAGGCATGGACGAGGGCCTTGTCCTCCCTGTGGACGGAGGGCTGTTTGCCTCGCCCTTTTGAAGGGGTGGAGCGACCACGCCCTTCAGAGGAGGCGGGTGGGACGTCCCTGGACCCGCTGGCACCGGTGTCGCCTGGTCGGTCCAGTCCCACTCTTCCCACCAACCTTGCCAGTCCTGCCACCCGGTGGTGGGACCATCAGAGCCGCCGGTATCACCACAAGCTCCCGAGGAGCTGTGACCGGCGGCCTGATCTGCTGAGGGCTCGGCTGGGGGCTCCCAGAAGTCAGCCCCAAACGGTTCTGGTCCGTTCCAAACCATTCGCCAGACCCATCTCCAGGAGTGGTAGCACCACCTCCTTTCCCATTCCCAGCCCATCTCGCCAAGGGAGAGGGCTAAGGCTGGGGAAGCGAGAGGTGCGCGTGGGCCATGGCTGCAGCTACTGCGCTTAAGAGGCTTGGGGAAAACTGCGACTGAGGAAGGTGAAAGCGTCCCAGGTGACTAGGGGGAAAGGGCCCTAAAAGGAAAAAGCCTACAAAGGCTACGGCTTCCCTAATGCTTCCCACCTTGGGCCCAGAACTGCCGGAGCTTAGGTTGATTCACAGGCTTGGGCTTCGGCTTGGGCTTCGGGGTGGGTGCAGCAGTCCCTTCCCCAACAACACCAGCAGACACAGAAGCCTCGGGGGCCTTGGGTTGACCTGAGAAAAAGGGAGTTAGGGCGGAGGATTTGGAGCCTGAGGGTCTAGGGGCCCTACTACTAGACGCGCGTGCGGGATTCCGCTCTTTCTCCGCCGGTTTTTCCTTTTCCTTTTCCTTTTCCCGGTCGTGGTGCCTAGAGTCTCTAAATGGACCTCTCGCGCGGTGTGGGAACCACTACCGCTGATCCCAGAGGCCCTCACGTTGGCCTGGAGGGATGGCTCGGGCTCCCTCAGCGCAGGGGAGGGAACCTCAGACCCTCTGCCCGGAGGCGGTCTCGCGGGAAGGCTCAAGGCCCGTTTGGCCTTTGTGCTGGGTGCCACCTGGGTGGTAACCGGCGGGCCTTGGTCCGCGGCTTTCAGAGCAGGCTGGTTGTTCCTGCCTTTTTTGCTTTTGCCTTTGGAGGAGGACTGTTCCAGGGTGCGAAGAGGCTGAGGGGAGGGGTCCTCAACCCTGTCAGCACCACTAGGGCCAGCAAATGGGCCTGGATTGTGAAGGCGACTCCCCTGGGAAAAACCGGGTCCCTCATTCCCTGCACGGTCTAGCACCTTCCGGAGAGTGTCCTGGGTGGATGTCTCCTTGAGGTATTTGGCCGCCCATTGGGTGCCACGTTTTTTGTGGGCGCGGGAGGCCCCCTCGCACTGCGATTTGGCCACAGCCGTGGGGTTAAGCTGCCCCGGCTTGTGGACCGCATAGCATTTGGTGCAGAGGAGGACCGCCCCCATGCAGTAAAAGGAGTGGGACGCGTGCAGGCCAAAGTTGCTGAGATCGGGCAACGGCCGGTGAGCGCACGGCTGTGCCTCCAGACGCCGGAAGGCCTCAGAAGAGTGGGTTTGCTGGATAAAGAGGGAACAAACCTTACAAACCAAGGAGTGGTTGTTGGGGTTCGTGTGGCTCCACTCGAATTGATGCCCATGGTGGCCTTCCCCTGCCATAAGGGCTTCCAGGCGTTGTTTTTTATTAATACCCCCATCCGCGCCAGGACGATGCTGCCTCTGAGGGGGTTTGGCCTGTTTCGCCTTAAGCCTGGCATCAGGGCGGGGAGACCCCTTGCCCTTTACCGGGCCGTCACCGGCAGCCTCCCAAGGGGGCCTGTCGGTACTCAGAAGTAGCACTTCGGCTTTGCGTTGGAGGTGTTGCGCCACCTCTCGCGCCAAATCATCTGCAGGGGAAGGATCCCACTGTGGTAAGTGGGCGATGGCGGCAAGCACAGCTGCGCCACATGCGGCGTCAGCCTGGGCATTAATAGTCCGGCGCCAGCTCTGGTCGGGGCCGAATTCGGCCGCGTGTTCGGCCTCCGTGGTGTGGGACCTTGTCCACGTGACTTGCGCCAGAGACGCATTTTCAAGCGCCTGGGCCCAAACCCATGGCCTGACAGCGCGGGACTGCTGCTTGACCACCGCACTGCAGTCGGAGGTGCAATCTGCCCGCTCTAACAAGTGCGAGGTGAGCCTTGCGACCGCGAAGCATTCCCCTTCGCACACAGAACTCCCCGGGGGGAGGAGGCCAGTGAGTTGGCCGACCTGGAGAGGGGCACCCTCCGTCCAGGTGAACGCGCAGATGGCCCAGGCCACTATCCTGCCCCTGGCGTCGGCCGCGTAGGGCCCACCAGAGGCGTCCGTCGAGTAGAAAAGCCCCTTTGGCCACTTGACCTCTTTGCAGACACCTACGGCCCGTTCCGATTGCGGGCCCCAGCAGACCCCTGCAGCTGGGTGGCCTGAGCTGGCATCAGGCCCCGCTCCCATAAGCAGTCGCAGGGGAACTGGGCTGTAAGGCGTTCCCAGTGTTTGGGAGGGGGGGGTGCCTTGCCGCGCCACCATCTGCAGTCGGTGGCGACGTGGTGCTGGGTGAGGGGCATCTTGCACAGGGGGCATAGCTGGCCGGCCTGGACATGCCGGTTTTTCAAAGCTCCCTGCCAGGCCATTCTCAGGGCGGCAGACTTAATCCGCGGGGCCTTTTTCACAAGGGCTGTGGGGACCGTCGTATCCACACCTGAGGCCAGACTGCTGCACCCCGTTTGGGTGCTGATGGCCTTCCTCCGGGCCTTGTGGCAGGCGCTGAGGCAAGAAAGGATGGCGGTCCAGTGCCTCCGTAGGAGGGGGTTGAGGGCCACCAGCCCTAGATCCTCAGGGACCCCTGCCAAGGTAGCTGGACACAGGTCGGCAGGGAATAACCAGCGATCCGGGGTGGGAGCCACAAGCCCGAGATCCAGCAGATAGGCTATCATGGCCCCTAGCGGTCCACAGACCACTCGCCATCTGTCTTTCCGCTGGAGCTGGGTAGTGAGCTGCGCCCACGTGCGGTCCAGCTGCTCGCGGTCGGGGAGGCGGACCATCACCCGACAAAGGGCCTTGAAGTGCTGGGTGACAACTGCCACCCTGGGGTCCTTTACCAGCCAGGCGCCCAGTTCCAGCGCGATTTCGACGCTGCCCGTTCCTGGAAACGCACCGATTTCATAGTTTTGGGGCTCACCCCTTGGGCCTGGTGTCCCCAGATCCCCGATGCCAGCACGGACATGGAAAACACCCGGCTGCTGGCCTTGATGTCGCGGACCTTAAGGCTGCGTAGCTTGCCCAGTCTGGCGTTGGCTTTAGTCCGCCGAGGCGAGTGCACCGTCTCCTGCCAGCGGACAGCGTCATGCCCAGGTCTTTGGCAACACTCTGAATGGGGGGGTCACCCTCACCCAACTTTCGCCGCAGGGCGCGCTCGGCGAGGGGACTGCTCGCCAGAAAATAGGTCTTGCCGATAGATACCTGGTACCCAGCGGCAGAAAGCGAGGCATGAAGCCGTCTGAAGACCCTGATGACTGAGTTCGCTGCTTGGTCCGGGCTGTGATGTTCAGTATCTACCGTGATGTCGTCTATCCACGTATCTACGTGGTTGACATGCGGTCCAGAACAGCACTGCCGGATCGGCTCGCCCACAGCGAGTTTACTCAGGGTAGGGGCTAATGGGCAGCCCGCTATAATTCCGCGACGAGCGAAAGCAACGGGCGACGCGACTTCGTCGGAAAGGATCACTCTGCCGCCGCGATACGATTCCATAGCAAGGAAAAGTAAAAGGTCCGGGAATCCGGCATTGAGCGCGGCGTCGCAGAGAGTGGAGTGAACCACAGTCTCATAAAAGGTACTCAAGTCGACAAACAAAGAGCACCGATGCAGACCGTCGACGCGCGCGGCTTCGTAGCAGACGCCTCTCCGGAGGGAGGCATCGTAGGTGGAGCGCTCCGGCAAAGCGCAGTCCCACCAAAGCTCAGCGCGATAGTCGCGAAGCCACGCTTCAACTAGGTGCCATCTTGCCTTCATCCCAAGCTTCAGGAGCGAAGACATCAAACCAATCGGTCTTTCGATTTTCTCGTTTTTAGCGAGCATCGTAAAGATGGTGAATGTCATCTGCTGTGGCACCTCTCCCGTGGTTTCGATTTCCCTCCAAAAAGAGGCCAGGGAGGAAACCTCACCCGGAGTCAGGGCTTTGAGCAGCTCCAGGGACCAGCCATCCGCACCCGCCGCTTTCAAAGGCAGGCGCCGAATGAGTCGCTGGAACTCCTCCCCAGTGACGGCCGGGAGTCTCTGGGCTTGCGCAATGGCCCGTTCTTTAAGGCCCTGGATGGGAGGAGGAGGCTGGCCCTTCGACTCCCAGAGGCGAGCCCACTGCTGCAGTCGGAGGTAGGGCCGGGCTTCCGCCGGTTCGTCCATGAATGGGCGGGCAACCTCAGCCTCCTGCTTTTTGACCGTACGGAAAAGCGGTCGGAGGCCTTTCACAGAGGCGCCGGTTAGCCACTCCTGGTAGTCCCGTGTCTCGCGGGACCTGGACTCTTCAATGGCGGCCTGGCACATACTCCTGACAAAAGCGCGGATCCCAGCTCGGGAGGCCCCATTGGATTCCCCGTTGCAGAGCACCTCTTCCGGGCTGAGGCCAGAGAGGCCGGCACTCTCAAGTTTGGCCGGCAACCCCTCCATGCAAGACGATGGGAAACACCGCCGTAGGGCCTCGAAGCGGGCCCTGCTGGTGCCTGGGTTGTCCCAGGCAAGTTGCAGTTTTTGCCACCAGGCCGCCTCCTTGCCGTACCACGGGTAGCCCTCCTTCGGTTGCATGAGGGGTTTGTACACGAAGGGCCGGGTGCACCCACGCCCACCAGGTTTGGTGAAGTGTTCCACCGCGAACCGGTGGGTGAGTTCGGCAAATTGGCGATTGGCCGAAGTGCCATGGATCACCTCCGACCCGAAAGCACCAAGCATAGGGCTGCCGCCGGGGGTGAACTGAGAAAAGGTCGAATCCTGAGCGAGGCTGTCAGTTCGACTAGTGGCCCCCGTTTGGGGCTTGGTGCTATCTGTTTTGAGCACCCCAGGGAACGCGGGGAGTTGCCTCAAGGCGACCTGGCCCCCGGGGGTGTTGAAACAACACTCCAGGGCAGCGTGAGGCCGGAAGGGCACTTGCCAACTGGCAGCACAGGTAAGCAGGGAAGCGACACTGGTGGAGACCAGGGCGAAATCAAGACAGTTACCTGTGGTGATCGTCGCCTCCGGTGGGGCGACGATCCGCCCACGAAAGGCCTCTGGCAGGGTGGTCTCAGCCAGCTCCTGCGATGGGAAATTCCAGTCCCCAACCACAATCCAGTTGGAATTTTGGCGCAGGAGGGGCTTCAGACGGGCGAGGACTTCAGGGTTGGGCGCCCCAGTGATGCCAACACCTGATTTAAGGTACAGGTTGACCAAGAGGATAGAATGGCGAACCCTGGGGAGTTCGACCAACAAGAAGCCGATCCCTTCGTCAGAGAGGTACCCTCCTCTGAAGCGTCCCTGTTGGTGGATGGGCACAAGTGTGGCCAGTCCCCCTTTGGTGGGTCTGGGGCCCTCAACCGGGGGGAGGAAAGTATGGTACCCTCTGGCTAGCGTCTATGCGTAGTTTACTGGCACCTTCATCTCCCAAGTGCAACTCCTGGATGAGAAGGGGCCCTTTTTGCGGCTGGTGCCATTTGAGAATATCCGGAGTCCACGTTGTGATGTTGGCACTGACAAACACAACAGACTCCTGACATCCCTGGTGCTCCTGAGCCGCGAGGTCGTCCAGGAAAGCCGCGGCGTGCATGGCCTCGAGAATCTCATAAGAGACCCGGTAACCCAGGCTGGCCTCATCGACTCCTTCCAGGGCCTCAGCGAGGGCTAGAGCCTGGGGCTCGGACTTGCTCCAGTCATTGTGCGTCCGAAGCTCATCTGCGAGCCCTGCAGCAAGGGCCTGAACTGGATTTGCCTTAGTCTCGAGGTCAGGGAGGGGCTTGCCCGCTTTCCCCCGGGTGCTAGGCCTTCGCGAGGAGACCGACCGGGGGGGGTAAGGGGCCGCCGCCTTGCGTCACCAGGGGGGGAAGGAGGCGGCGTGGAGCCCTGTTCCTTCGGCCAGGAGTGCCAGAAAAGAGAATTGGCCTGTTGCTGCCTCCTAGCCCGGTGGGCCGCCCGATGTTTTCGGGTGGACTCCCAGGAAGTCCTGTTGCCCTTTACGCCGCCCACGTGGGCCGTGGGCCGTGCTGCGAACCCCGCGAGACGGGCTGATGCCTAGGGCCTTGGCCAAGCACAGCACCGGCCTGGCGGGGGATGTGGGTGGGGTGAACCCCGAACCCGTAGGTTCCCCTTTGCCCCTTGGCAGCAGGCACCACTTGGGGCAGGGGGCTCCTGTTCAGGGTCCAGGGCCCATCCGGTTGGAAAAAATTTTGGCCCCGAGAGCCTGGGGCAATCCTGGGCGCTCTGGTTGTCCGAACACGTTGGCGTGAGGACACCCTGCGACGCCAGGGTTGAAGAAAAGGGGGTGGAAAACTCACTACCCCTAATCGAAAGGCCGTGCCCAGGCCTCAGGGAAAGAGGCTGGTAGGGCGCCTTGAAACCTCGGGCCGGCGCTGGCTCCCAACGCAACGCCGCCGGGGTTTTATGAAAAACTTTGCATCGCGCGCAGAACAGGTGAGTGCTGCCTAAATCGTGCAGATCACACTTGCAAAACTTGCAAAGAACTCCACTCTTGTGTGAAACCTGGCCAAGGTAGGGTGGCGAACCACTCCCCCTCGGTAAAAGAGCAAGTTGGTTACTGGAAAAGGCCTGCAAAACCTCCATTGACGGGCGGAGAAGGGCCTGATTGGGCGGCTGCCCTTGCAAAATCTGCCTGGGGGCCCGTGGCCCAGAAAGGGCCAGGGGGAAGGCAGGGTTCCCCTGGCCGGCGCCCCTATTCGGGGTTGTCGCTGCCTGCAGCTCCCTCTGGCTTCGTCCCTTCCAGAGGCGTGGGGCGCTTCCCATGCGGATCGGTGCGGGCAGGCCCGTACATGGGGGGCATCTCCCGAGGGAAGTACTCGTCATGCCCTCTGAAACTCGGGTGGCTTCCTCGTGGCCTGCCTCCGAAAGGACCGCCTCCAGGGCGCTGAAGGCGGTGCTAGTGGAGTCCGCCGTCATCTCTTTGAAAGCCTTGGCCGTCTCCTGGATCTCGACGTCCTTGGCCTTGATGTCCTTGTCGACCTGGTCCACGTCCCCAATGAGCTTTTCCAGCTCCTGCTTGAGCTTGTCCGCTCGTGCCTGGAGCTTGGCCTTCTTCTCCACCAGATTCTTCATCTGGTTGGTGGCCTTCTTGAAGTCGCTGACACACCTGGTCAGCTTCTCTTGGGGCGTGGGTTCTGGCTGGTCGAGGTCCTCATCCGGTGGAGGGGGGATTCCCGCGGCCTCCAACAGGGTCTGGACGTGGAGTCCTGCCCCCGCGTAGACCACGGCCCTGGCAGCGTTGTACTCCTTCTCGGTCATCCTACCCTTAAGGAGGGACTGGAGGTCCAGTCCTGGTGGTGGTGGCGGCGGCCCTTTCGGCCGAGGTGGGCTGTACCCTACCTCCTGAAAGGCTTTCTGGGCAGCCTCTGGTAGGTCTTTCCAAAGACCCGCAAGCACCGCGCCGACTTTGCCACCTGGAGGGTTCTTAGAACCCTTTCCCTCTCCTTTTCCCTTGCCTTTGGTGCGACCGTCCTCCCAGACAGCTCGGGGGCTCTGGGGGTTCTCGGCCCGGGCTTCCTTGTTTGCTTGCTGCTTGGCCAGCTGCTTCTGCCAGTTTCTGCCACAGTACGCACAGTGGGTATTTTCCCCTGACTCAACCTGGCGTTTCCAGGCCCAGTGGTACCCACAGGCGCACGGGATCCACTTGGGAGTGCGCGGCATGGCTGTCAGCTGGTGTGGTAAACCACTACCAGAAGTAGTGGCTGCAGGAAACAAGCAAGGAGTGGTGCCCACTTCCAAGCTCGAGAGGTGCACTCGGCAAGAGGAGGATCGACCTCACTCAGACCGTGCAGTGAACAGCCTACCGGGCCGCCCACCAAACCCTTGCCTGCTGTCAGGCCTACGACCTTTACCAGGTTGGGTTTGGGGCCTCTTTGGAACCTCTAGAAAAGTAGGCCCCAAGGCTGGCCACGACGGCACTGCAACGTCTGAGCCGAAAACTTGAGCCAGGAGCAAACTTTTCATTCCAGTGGCGCTTGTCCACGGCCAGAGGCCTGTCCGAAAAGCTGCACCGAATTAAGTGGTATGCACAACCTAGTCCTGCACAGACCCTGGGCGAAGTCAAAAAGACCTCAGCCCCAAGAAAGCACTCTGTCAGAGCCCTACTGTACTGGCAAGGAGAGTGACAAGACTCCTCAAGCCCTTTTTGGGAAAGACAAACCCTGACAGGTGCTCAAGCCGAACAGTGAGAGGTGAAAGCTGTACAACCTAACTGACACTACCCTCAGTCTGGCACTCAGCTTGCAGTGACCTCAGCCCTGAGGCGAGGTCACTCAGTGAAGCTAGGCGAGGCAACATGCCGTAAAGTGCCTAGCCTCAAGCCCTCACAGCCCAGGGGTTCCTCAACCTCACCTTGCACAGAGCAGCGCCCCTCAATTCGGTACCTTTAGCGCGGGGCCCACGCACTCCCCTCAACAAGGCGCAGGGAGCGACGCTTTCCCTTCAACTCAACTTCGTGCTGGCGCAGGGAACAACGCCCTGCTATGCTCTCTGCGAGTGGAGACTTTGAAGCCCGAAGACTGCTCCCAGTAAACCTGCTGACTGCTCACTAGGGAAAGGGCAAAACTTTGAGGCCCGCACAGCAGGGGACCTTCCCTACCTGAGGGAAAGGAACCAGGCTGTTCCCTGGGAAGCCTCTGACTGCTTCAAGGGAAGGGGCCAAACTGGCAATCTGGACTGCAGATCACAGACTACACAAATGCAAAAACCAAAGCCTATCACCCTTACATCCTCAGCCCAAAGGCGAGGAGTGCAAGAGCGACTGCGGAAAGGCACCTCGCTGCCTCAACTTGCCCAGTGAGGAGGTACGAGACACGATCCCTGTCAGCTGCCAGGTGAAACCCATGGCGTGCCTATAAGAACACCCAGAAAACTAATTACTGGGCGAAGGCGGGCAAACCAAGGCAAGGGGAGGGAGCCTACTCAGCCTGTGCTGCCATCCACTGTCAGCAAGCAGACAGCAGGGCGGAGAAACTATCCCTAAAACCAGCCCTAAACCCAAGGCCAGCAGAAGAGCAGTCACAGAGTCAGGGAAGACTGCTCACTGCTGCTAGCGCGCGAGCCTGCTGGGAGGCCACATACATCCCAACAGAGGGCCCAAACCTACCTCAGCCTGCAGGCGAGGCAAACAACTAAGGGCATCCTAAACCCCTAAAGGCGAAAGTCCTCTGCACACGGGCAGCTGGCCGAGAACTAACTAGGCTATGCAGGATCACACGCCGGCGCGTGTCCTCACCAAGTGCAGTCAGCAAGCAGGAAGCTGCACACCTAGTGCCTAAAACAACTCACCACCAGCCAAAAGTAGGCGAAACCACGCCGGGAGCGAGCAGGAAGCCACACAGAGTCCCTGCGCCCAGCAGCGACAGCTGCCTACAACAGACGGGGACGTGCTGCAGGGCATAATAAGAGCATGCCTCAAAAGAATCGAGGCGCGGGTTTAGGATGCAGCAAAACCCCTCATGGCACCTGCAAAGGCATGAAAGGGAACAAGGGCTAGCACAACCCTACAAAGAACCCCAGGCAATTGCAGTTGCTGATGCTCAGCAAAAGCCCACGAGTGGGAGCAAACTTTTCACACCCCCTCATGCCCGAGAGTCCTCTTCACTTCTCCTCAAAAGTCTTCTTCGCGTTCTTCAGGAGAGCGAATCCTAAACCCGCTGGATACACACCTGACTCAGGAAGAGGAAGGTAGTAGTGGCCGTGTCCCTCAGAGCACTGAGAAGAAAGTCCCCACACAAACTCTGTGCGGTTGGACACAAACCACCATCTTTTCCAAGGTCGTTGGTCACCCTTTTCAAAGCAACAACGATCCACAAGGCAACCCTGATCCAAACGAAGCTTCTTAGAAACCCTCTTAAACACAGTCTCATCCCACAGTCCTGACCTCTCAGGCCACTCGTGAGAAAGCAGAAGGTTCGGGGAGCCCACGTAAGGCTCCAACAGCTTCTCGATCCTTTTCCAGGACCTCTTGTGAACGGCCAGAGCCGCTCTCCACTTCTCCAGGGCCTTTCCTCCCTTCTTAAACCTCAGGTGCCTTAAACCACACCCAGCAGAGCACGGAGTAGACAAGTGAGCATACACCTTGACCTCACCTTCAGCTACGACTCCGAAAACCTCTCTCAGAAGACACAAGCCATTATAGCTCAGAAGATCAACTTCCTTAGTCACCCCAAAGTAGGCGATCTCGGGGACCTTCGAGCAGGCTTTGGACAACGCACTTCCTTCTTCACAACACAGTTCAACCACTACGTACTTAGCTTCACCACGAGCTAGCTTCAAAGCAGCGGCTTTCCAGGAAGGCGGAACAGACGGAGTAAAACGTTCGTTTTCATTGGGCTCTTCAAAAGACACGTGCACCTCAGTAGGCTCACTCTCCCAGGCCTTCGGTTCATCCACAAGGCCAGAGGCATCGTACAAACTAGCCAAACTTTCGTTGGTGGGACTCTTCGTGAGGGCGTCCGCAGGGTTTATCACTCCCGGTATGTGTTCTATAGTAAAACGACCCCTGGCCACCAGCTCCTGAAGGAATGCGGCACGCAGTTCGATGTGCCTCACTTTCCTCAGGAGGGTCTGCATCTTCGATATACAAACCGCCGATTCGGAATCAGAATATCCCTTAAGAACATAATAACCGGTTTCCCTGTCTTTCGGCATACCCTCGCGGATGGTCTCCACGAGCAAAGCAATGTACAACCCTTCACGAGCAACCTCTGTGAGTGCAGCGAGTTCTGCTTCCGCACTGGAGAGTGCGGTAGTCGTTTGTTTCCTGCTGAAGCTTTTCAGGGAACAGTTCTCCCACGTAATGATCCCGCCGCTTACCGAATTCAGACTCCAGCTCGCGTCCGTAAAACAAGATACAGAGGCAGGGTCCGCATCATCTTCCAAGATCTCCCTTTTGCTCGGAAACCTCTGGACCTTGTGCGGAAGACCCTTGACCCAACGAAGGACATCCCTCATACAGGTCTCGGCAGCTTCGTCAGGAGCTGCTTGGTGGCGGCCCAGAAACCCACACACAAACTGCAGGTCTGGTCGTGACAGAGCCGCCCAGGCCAAACGGCCCAGAGTCCTTCTGTACCTTTCGTGAGCAGCTGGACTGATCAGCTCAGTCTGGCCTTTCTTCAGCAACTCAGCATAGCGGCGTTCAAGGGAAGGGAGCTTTGGTGCAGGTTTGGTGATTCCGTACTCCTCGCAACAGGAACTCAGGTACTGTTCGTCTAGCCCGAAATACACCGTACGTTCCCCTTTCTTACGGCGAAAGATCCGCCGACCGAGAAACGAGACTTCCCCGGGGCAATCTTGAATCAGCTCGCCCGTAATTTTCAGTTTGTATCTTTTACGCAACTCCTCGTAGAACCGGCGCCCTTCAGCTTCATCTTCACTATAGATCAGCAAGTCATCCACATAAAACAACACAATCGTCAAACCCTTCCTCGTAAGACGACGGAATATAGTGGGGTCCAAACTTGCTTCGAAGTTCTGAGAGCGCAAGTATTCAGCCAACTCGCAATACCAAGATAATGGAGCAGACCGCAATCCGTTCATCGCTTTACGCAATTTGACGAAAACTCGTTCCCCAGTCACCTGGGCGCTCACATTATTCGGCAACTCTACGAATTCTGCCCTCGCTACGGGAGCATGCATGAACGCTACCGAGACATCGCAGGACAACACACTGCCACGTCGGCAGAGCATTGACAGAAGCAATCTCAGACCCTCCAATGAAGTAGTAGGAGAGTAGATTCCCTCACTCAAGGTGGTGCCTCCCATAGAGGCATAATCCCACACGACTAGCCTAGATCTATACAGTCCCTTCTTCTTGACCGTGTTGACCCACCTGCTAGTCAAAACTCGCCTGCCGTTTTCCTTAGCAAGACGGCGAGCTTCGCGCTCAGGGATCACTTCCCCAACCTTGAAGGACTCCAACTCTTCCAACTCAAGCTTCATTGATGCGTAAAGAAGATCGGGTTCTAGCTTCTCTCCCGAAGTCTCAGACACAGCGTTCTGAGGAACAGCACACCTTATCTTCGTACCCCCAAACTTCAAATCAAACGACTTTGCAACTGCAGTGGAGGTGGCTCGCAGGTCAGGCCCTCGAAACAGGGACTCAAGATAGTGATTCGTGAGCCAGTCTATTTCCATATCCCCCTCATCGTTCACAACCTCCTGGTTCTCAGGCGCTTCCGACGGAGAATAGTCAGCAAGCTCATCTTCAATCATCTCTTCATCACCATCTTCATCCATTCCCACACCAGCCCCCTCATCAGGAGCATCATCACCAGGAGCCTCCAACGGATCAAACAGTATGGGCCTCTCGGGGTCCTCAGTGTCCTGCAGAAGAGGCTTAGCTAAAGATAGCTCTTCCAGGGTCTTGGCATCGTAGATGTCACCTCCCTGAATCATTCTGGCGACGGGGAATATATCTATTTCCCTGCTTCCGACAGGGACGGCAAAGATGCCGCCACCTTTGGCGTGCACCGGTCCCAGATAAACCGCTTTCACGGTCCGGGCGCCCCTGAACTTATCATGGTGCGCCTTGGACTTACTGACCTGAGCTTGAACCAGACACCCGAACGGTCTCGTCCGAGTTCGGTTCACAATCTCCTCATGCAGTCGATCTATGCTAGTGCTCGAATCCCCGACGCTAGTACACCAGAGGTTATAGCACCTAGCAACATAGAAAACACAGGCTTGCCAAAGCAAACCTCCCAAAGGTAACTGATACTTCCCAAGCTCAACGGCTTCCGTTTCCTGCTTCACCTTAGCAACCTCTTTCTCCAGGTCCAACCAAACAGACCAGAAACCCTGCTTCATAGTTTCAACCTGCCGCTCAATCGATCCCTTCGACTGGGGCCTGTAGCCCGGAACCACGTCAATCAAAGTTGCGCTGGCAGGGCTGCTATCGCACTTGGTGAGTTTCTCGGCAAGGGCTCCAAGAGCCGCTTCTTGGTCCATCCGAAATGTAACCGCTTTACCGACTAATCCCATTTCGCGAATCACACGGTTGATGTTGTGGAGCAGGTCAGGGTCATCGAGGTGCATCGCAGGAAGAGAGACAGTATACTTAGAACCGAGGTGCATCATCAAGAGTACCCTCAGTTTTCCGAAATAGAAGAAATCAAGACCTATGGTCTGGTTCTCTCTCTGCAGCTTCCTCCTCAAGCGACGCGCCGGAACGCGCCCTTTCGAAGAACAACACGCTTCACAATTGGAATCAAACGGAAAATGCCCTCGGCTCCGATGATTATACAACGAAACAGAAGAAAGAGGAACCCTCAGGTCCTCCTCGTCCTCAGGTCCAACCGGGTCGTCAGGTGGTGTTGGACCCTTTTCTTTTCGAGGTTTCTTGGAAGAGCCAGGGGCAGACCCTAACGGTTCAGGGTCCTCATCAAAGATTCCTTCAGGATCTAAAGGATTACGACTAGAAGCTTCAGGTTTTAAGGAAGTTTCGGGAGCAGGTCTCGAGGAAGGTTCGGGGTCTAAGTCAAACGGATCAGAACGTGTACCGGTCCCCGGCGACGGTAAACCTCTAAAGCGCACGGCTCGGAGCACGTGCTCAACTTGTTCCGTCTTCTTTGCCGGGGCCGGTTCATCATCTCCGGCACAAAGCATGCCAAACATGCCGCAACATGCGCACTTTAAGTTTTCACAGACATGCTCACAAACGCGCTGCCCAAAACCTTTCACTTCACGACTCAAAAGAAGTTTCCTACTCACCTCGACGCGGGCCCAACGGTCCCGCAGCTTAATCCTAAAGTAGCTTCCGCGTTTTCTAGAAAACACCCTGTAGAACTTCCGTGGCCTCTTTCGTGAAACCACTTTCCTGAAACACCGAAGTAACCCTGAAGAAACCCACAAAGCTATACCACAGAAGAGGCTGTAGACCGTCAGGAGGAGCACGATGATACCAAGATCCAGTCCTGGCGTGAAACCATTCCTGAAAGCGGCCGTGGTTTTAAAGGTGCGGGTTTCGAAGGTAGGAGGGTTCGAGGTACGTTGGGTTGGTTTTCGAGCAAACGCAACATGCCACAGACCATGCCAACGCTCATGCCACACAACATGCTGCTGCAAAACGTGCTGCTGCAAAGTGTGCTGCTGCAAAGCGTGCTGTTGCAAAACGTGCTCGCAAGAAAAAACTTTTGAACTCCAACCCCTCGGCGCGGATCGCCGCAGAGTCACTCCAAAAACCTCTGGCCCTCTTCGAGGGCTTGCCTCACCTGCGCAGTCACTTGACTGTGGCTTAAAGATGGCGGGCTGAGCACAAATGCCCGTTCCTGGGCAGTCTGTCCTGTGGCAGAAGCACTCATAGCTCTCGGAGGCGTTGGTAGCCGAGATCTTTTTGGAACCGACGGCGGGATGTTCACGCCGTGCCTTTGATAGTCCTCCCTTTGCATTCCCTCCGGAAGCGTAGGTGCTGAGACCCTCGGGAGATTGAATGCAGTAGCCACCAGTTCTCCAGGTGGCATCGAGGAAGCCGGGCTCGGCGGTGCCGGCTGTCCCGCCTCGGCGGGCTGATTTCCCTCGTCGGCCCCAACGAAGCCATCCAATTGGGACAGCCTCTGGCCTGTAAGTTCTTCCAACGTGCGCCATATGGCGATGTCGGATAAATCTTCTTGGCCCTGGGCCCTGTTCAGCGCCGTAACTTCTCCTTCTCCAAGGAGCAAGGACTCCTCGTCGGAGCTCGAAGAGGTGGTGTCCACAACACCGCCCTGAGGGATCGCTGCCGATTTGGCCCTTGCCGCTCGCATGGATTCCCGGGCCTCGTGGAGGCGCTCCTCCTCTCGTTTTCGCCTGTAATATCGGGCAACACGGAGATATATGCCCGAATCTAGGTATGCCCAAGCCGTTTTGAGCTCGAGCGAGGTGACAGACTGGGGCACCTTTACGAGCAGACTCGCCCGCGCTCCCACCAGTCCCCTGTATCCAGCAGGCGTAGCCAAATAGGTTTGCAGTACAGCTCGACAATGGAAGATATCGTGTAACATAGACACAGGGTTGGGTTCCTGGAACCTTCGTTTCCACACTGCCCGAGCGGCCCGTGGAGCCTCCAGAAGTTCGGCAACCCTGACAGCGAACTCCACGTCTTCCATATGAAGCCCGTACTCTGCTAGGCTCTTGCCCTCTAGGCAACGTCCCAACCAAACCTCCCATTCCTGCTGCCCAATGATACATTGGGCTTCCGATGCCACCATCTTCGGCCTCGAAACCCTCACTGGCTCCTCTGGATAGGCCGCTGTCACAGGAATCACTGGAGTGGCTGGTAGCCAAGCAGCTGGATGCTCTAGGTCGGGCAGGCCTATCGGACCGAGCATTGTCGCCGTCGGAGAGCAAAGTGCTCTCAAGTAGGCATCGTTCATGTTCGCTGGAATCCCCGCCAAGTGCGAGAGCAACGGAATAGGCTCGGTAGAATCGACCGAGACCTTTGCAAGGCCTAGTGTTTCCGCATGCTCCCATCTGCGGCCAGCCTCCAGCCTCAACGCTCTCAGGAGGAGTTGGGTTCCCACATCCAGGCGAGATATTCGCCGGGATTCCAACCCGCGGTGGCGTAGGCCCCTCGACCTCTGAGGGAACCCCAGCGCGCAGGCGCTTCGAAGGATTCGGCCACTGGGTGCCCCAACTCTCCTCCCCTTCGCTCTCTGAGAACAAAGGGCTCTCTGCAATATCCGCCTTCGGCGGACTCCTCGCAGCATTCTCCTCCACAGGGCTTCCAGCAGCATCTGCCCGCGAAGGGCCATCTGCAGAGCTCTCCGCTGCTTCCGTCACCACTGGCGACGGGTAGACCGCCACCGGCGACGATGGTCCCCCACCCGGCGGCTCGACCCCCGGTAGTTCGAAAGAGGGGCTCTCCAAAGCCGGTGGAGTAGGCGGTTTCCCAGGAGAGCCTGGGCTGCTCAAAGCAACACTCGGGGTAAACTGTCCCCGCTGGCACCGTCCATTATGATCTCCAAAGGGAGACCTCTCTTCACCAAAGAGAAAAACGGCTGCAGATGAATCGTGCGCAGTGCTAGCGCAAACATTCGGCAACATCAGCGTTTGCAAAATCAAGCCAAGCATGCCAACATGCCACTGTTTCCTAGGTTCACGCAGCTGTTTCCTAGGCTCGCGCATCTGCTTCCTAGGCTCATGCCGCTGCTTCCTAAGCTCAGGCAACTGCTTTCGCAACCCTTTTTCTACCCTCTTGTGGCTGAAGGGTCTGTCTTCTTCACTTGCCATCGAGCAAGACCCAACCAGCTGCAACGCTACCATCAGCATCGCTCTCAGCATACTGCGAATCTGGAACTTCGTCGTGGGCACGTAGCCATTGCAACCCAGACCAATGTTGAATGCAGGCCCAACAATAATGATGGGTGTGCGCAGGTTTGCGTCTGACGCAGACCTGCTTTCCGCACACTTCGCACCGGCACTCGCATTCTGGCTTTGATCCGCCCAGATAGTTTCCCATAGCAGGAAAAAGAGGCGTATGCCGAGTCTTTCTGCAAAAACCGTAAGGGTAAAAGCCCGCTTGAGCACAGCAGCAAAAACCCACTGCGCTTGCACAACCATGTCCATCATGAAAACATGCCATCGCAAAACCATGGAAAAACATGCCAAAAACATGCAAAGCACCATGCCAACATGCGACTGTTTCCTAAAATCAAGAGCCATGCCAACATGCGACTGTTTCCTAAAATCACGCGACATGCCAGCATGCAACTGTTTCCTAAAATCAAGCGCCGTGCCCTGCCTAAAGTCACTAGACTCTTCGAGAAAATCACAAAGCTCAATCTCCCGTGGTGCAGGCGCTCTTGGAGCAACTTCCGCCCTAAGACCCCAAAGCAGAAACCCAAAAGGAGTGGCAGCCAAAGCGTGGCAGCCAGACTCGTCTTCTTCCGAAGTCTTTCTTCCTTTCTTCAGGATTCCTTCTCCAGGCTTCTGGGGTCCTGCGGTGGACTCCTTGCTCGATCCTAGCAGGTCGCGGTCCTTCAAGGCATCTATCTCCATATCCTCGATCCCTTTCGGGGGGCGTCTGGAAGAATTCTCTTTCCCCCGGCCCTTGGACCTCCCGCTCAGAGCCCACCAGGCGCGCGAAGCGCCCATCAGCTTGATGCTCTTCTTTCCGTTTCCTTTGTACAATCGTGATCCCGATTTGGCTAGATAGGTTTTCCAGCCCCGTTCCGACCCGGTCCAAGGCGAAACAACGTTGAACCCAACATCCGCCACCAAGACCTCTTCCAACCTCAGGAAAACATCACCAAAATGAACCTCAAGGTCGACAACCCCCGACACGACGATCGCACCACCCGAGGCGTTGAACAGATTGGCCGTTCGGTCGTACTTCTTGACAACACGAAATCCTGAGAGATGTTTGTCAGAAACAATGTGGCAGGTGGCTCCACTATCGACTAGCCACAGGTCCCCAGGAGTAGTCTCGAGGGCCTTGCAGACATGAGCTACGTCGCCGTGCTTCAACACACGGGATCCTAAGGAGCCCATAGACTCAGAACCTCGACTCTCAGACCCAGGCGACCCTTCGGGTCCTGAACCCGGCTTCGGAACTACAAGGGCGGACGGCTCAGGTCTCTCAGGCTGGCTCAGAACACGGCGTTCCGCAGAAGAGGGCTCCGAAGAACCACGCCCAGGACAGGAAAACCTCATCGCCATCACTGTGGCGCTTCCTCCCGACTCGGCCTCGGACTCCGGCTCTGTCAAGGAGCGTCCCTTTCCAGGCTGTCCCTTCTTCTTTTTCTTCTGCTTCTTGCCTTTGTCCTTTCCTTTGTCGCCTTTTCCTCTGTCGCCCTTGCCCTTCTCGGAACCACGGGGCGTACCAGATCCCTTGGGAGTCTGGTCGCCTTTGCCTTTCGGCTTTCCTTTGTCTCCTTTCCCTTTGCCCTTCGGAGCACCACCGCGTTCTTCCTTTTGGCGCTGCCAACACTTGTCGGCTGTGTGTCCCTTCTTCCCGCAGTAGTCGCAAAGCTTCTCCTGCAAGGCTCGGCCCGAAGACCCAGGGGCCTCACACAGTCGCAGCTGCTCCTCGTAGTAAGTCAGCGTCCTTCGAAGAGCTTCCCAGTTCGAGCTGGACCCGTGCAGTACCACGTACTGACGCACTTCTGCACCCAAGCTCTGTAACAGGACAGAGCAGCGGTCAGCCTCAGACAGCTGAAGCTCCGGAAAGTTGCTCAGCTTCGCTTCAGACTTCGAAAACGAATCCTCAAGATGTCGAATCAAGTCGGTGGGCCTCTTCAGATGCCCAACGTGCTGGTACAACTTCAAAGCCTGTTCTCTCACGAAGACAGCTTCCATCCGCGACACGATGGAGTACTGAGAGGTAATCGTTCTAATCACCTCGTAGCCGCAGGCGCTCTGCCCCTGCCTCTTCGAGCAGGACCTCAAGAGCTCGCTTCCCCGCTCCCACTTGGCGAGGGACTGCGTCAAGTAGTAGAACAGCTTGGAGCTACGCGCGGCAGTCTCGGGATTCAAGTCAGCTTGCACAATCTCCTTTTTCACAGGGATACAAAGCTGCAGTTCCCGAACAAACGCTTCTTCCTGCAGGGCAAGCCAGGAACTCAGCGTCTCCATAAAGGAGTGCCAAGTCTCTACCTCCTTCATGCGCCCTTTCCCCATGCCTTGATGGTCTATCACCGGAAGGTTCGGCAGATACTTCTCTGCACGGCCTCCAGCACCAGAGTACCCAGAGGGAGACGGAACTGCCGGAGAAACTGCCGAACTCGCGGCAGAACTGCTCGCGGGAGCAGTGCTCGGCTGGAAGGGGTCCCGAGTCTTAGCTGCCTCTGCTGCCTGCTTGGCCGCTTCAGCTGCCTCGTGAACTTTCTCTTCCGCTTTGTTCCTTCTCTCTTCCTCCAGATCCATTCTCCGGAGCATCGTCGCAACGAGCTGCTGGTTCATTGCCATCATCTCTCTCTGCTGACGAAGCAATTCCATCATGAATCCAGGCATCTGCTCAGGCGTAAAACCTGCAGAACCAGAGCTGCTACTCGGAGCAGCAGCCTTCGGACTCTGAACAGGTGGAGCCGACGCCTTTGGACTTTGCACAGGAGGCACAGTAGCACCAGTCGGCGAACCCGCCGCTGGTACAGAAGGCTGTGCTTGCGTAGGAGCAGGAGCCGGACCTTGGACAGGAGCAAACGGATTCGCTCCCTGCTGAGCAGCCGCTTCAGGCGCTGCCGCAGCTGGTCCTGGACCAAAAAGCTCGAACTCTTCTTCTGCAGTGGTCTCCGGCACAGGAACGTCTGCCATGGCTTTACTAGGAACGCACTCAGCGCTCCGCTACCATGTGAAAAACGCAGAGCAAGTCTCTTTTCACTCCACGCTTGAGCCAAACACCGAAGTGTTCAGCAAGGTCTCTTGCGGAGTCTCGCGCAGCAAATTCCGTCTCAACTTTGCTAAACAAAGGAGGAATGACATGCAACTGTCCTAACACTTCTCAGGACTTCTTTACTCACTCAAACAGCAGTGCACAGCCACTCTGTCCCTTGGCCTGTTCCCACCGGCACGAGCGAAGCGAGGGTCGGCGGAAAACAGCAACAGTGCAGTCAGAGCAACACGCACTTCTTCAAGGATGCCCAAAAGCATTTCTAGTGCTGTAAGCGCTCATCATGGTCTTCAAGACAAGTGCAAACATGCTAAAACATGTGTTCGCCATGCAGATGCCTGTTCAAGCTTCCAGAACAAAACAGTTCAAGGCAAAAAGGATGAAACCCTTTCTCATGCGCAAAACAAGCATGTCGGTACTCAAGGGCACACCTAAAAGGAGCAAACTTTTCACAGTACGGGGCGGTGCGGAAGGTTTCGAGCTACGCGATTCGATGACAGGCTACGCGGCTGACTCAGCGGCCAGTGTTAGCGGTGCAGCAGCTTAGAGATTTTAATCGCGGGCCTACGACACCGCCGTGACATCAAAAGCATCAAATCCATCAAAACGGCCGGTCGAGACTTCTCGAATGGAGCTTTTGGGTTCTAGGTGTTCGAGCCAGGAGGTCGAGCCTCAGGGTATCCGAAGGGCTGTAACCCGAAGCCTGCAGACCGCACGAACCTGGACGTCGCCGAATCCATCTGGGCTGCATGTGCTGCAAGACAGTTGCGCGCACGAGCACAGGCATTCAAACAGGACGGCACAAATGTTCGCACTTCGAACCACGCGCCCCGCGTGCAGAACTCCGAGGACGATGGATGGACAAGGAGGGCGAGGATTTGGGAGACCCAGCATCGCTTCGTCGCGAACCCATCCGGCCCCTGCGAGGTGAAGCGAGATGACACTCTGAAGGCCAGCAGGATCGGGAGAGGCGCCTTCAACGAGGAGCTCCTCTACTTCTGCATGGGCCTCTACGGCAGCCTGAAGGAGCGCTACAACCCTGGCACGATGTTGCTGCCCATGCCCGTCGAGATACGCGACATCCAGACCGAGCTTGCCCGGTCCAACCCACAGCGGTGCGCATCGGACTTCGTCGAGAGCTGCTACAAGATCGTCATGTCCAAGGTGAACATGGCGCTGACCCGGGCCAACATCAAGCGGCACCCGGTCTGCAGCAAGAACGTCGCCGTCGGTTCCCGCGGCGCTCTCCGCTTGAAGCCAGAGTTTTGCAAACCGGGATCCGTTCGCTCCCAGGAAGCTGAAGGAGGGCTGGATTGCATGATTTTTGGTCGAAGGCTTGCACAGGCTCGGCGCGCCGGCCTCCGATGCGCATATAGGTTTGCGACACATGTGCATGCGCACAGAGGGTGCTACAGGCGCAGAGGAGGGACCTGCTTCAGCTCAGACATCCAAACGGTTTTCGAGAACACTCCTGCAGCAAGCTGCCCTTCATCCGGCTTGGAATTAATAATGCCGAGCTGTTCCAAGGCCAAAAAGGCCTAGGCTCAGGCAAGTTCACGAGCGCTCGACTTTACAGGCATCGAAGACCTCCGCTTGGAAGGATGCCAGAGCAGGCTGGACAGACCGCGAAAAAAAAATGCCCTAGGGGCGCCAGCTGCGGGCCGCGATGCAAGAGCCGCGACTCCACCCGAGCCCTTGAACGACCTGGGCTTCGCGAGCTCCTTTGAAGCCCCTGACGACAGTCGTGGCAAGTTGCTCTTCGACGACGGCTTCATCGCCGACTTCGAGACCGGCGAGATTCGGCGGGCCCTCTCCCGAAAAAGTGGCAGCCTCCGAGCACGTCGAGGCCTTCCTGGAGACGGGCGCCAGCCGAGCTGGACGAGAGCTTCCAGTCGAAGTCGGGATGCTCAGCGGCAGCAAACTCGACGGCATTCGGGACCGGCTTAGCGGCCACCTGAACTCCGAGATCAGCCGCAGCCTGCAAGACACGGTCCTTGGCCTCCGAAAGAGCGCACACGCCATCGTGCTCCAAGGCCAGCAAGGATGCGCCGGCAGCGGCCGCCATGCTCTGCAGGACCTTGCGCTCCCAGTCCGCGTAGGCAAAGAAAGCGACGGGGCCTCCACTGCCCCCTTCCAACCAAGCACGGCTCACCTCGGGCAGGTTGCGCCAGATGAGCCGATGCGCTCGGCGAACCTTGCCCTCCAAGCCTTGGATCCGGGCCACCTCCGGGATGTCCGTCTCATTGTCATCGAAGACCGCGCTCAGGGTGCGAGAGCTCCAGTTGGCAAAGCTGCCGCCGAAGCCTATGCTGATCAGCAACCGCTTCAGGTCGCAGCGGTGGACCGGCTTCGGGCAGTCCGGGCACGCTCGAAACCCCTCTTCGAGCTACGCTAACCAGCTCTCCCGGTCCTCGACGTAACTCGAAAGGAACGGGCAGTCCTCGCCCACCATGACCACTTTCGCCAGCCATTAGTAAAACCTTCGGGAGCTTGGAGATCGCCTCGTCTCTCTTCGCGACCGCCGCCTCCAGCTCGTCCTGGTTTCTCTTGCGCTTGCCGTCTTGCTCGGGAAGCGGTGGGAGCTTGCCGATGCCGGGCAGGCCTTGACCCTCACGTTCGAGCACCGGCACGTAGCCCACCTTGCCGCGGATCCTGACGGCCCTCTGTCGGAGCCAGTAGAGCTCCTCGGACACGGCCTCCCAACGAAGCCGGCAGCCTTCGAAGTGCAAGTCCGCCGGGGCCCAACCCAAGGAGCTCTCGCCGTGCATGTCGGGGTCCTGACGGCAAGCACAACGAACCGGGCACCCGGTTCGGCCCGGTTCCAGGCGCAGAACCGCGCCTCGTGATCCATGAAGCCACTGTCCTGCGAGGTGCAACCCGTCAACCAATCCCGCAAAAGAGGAGCGCCAGCCTCGTGATGCGCCGGAGGAGCGCTCGAAGATGAGGAGCCAGGAGCCTGGCGGGGGGCATCAAACCCATCAAATGCGTCAAACGCCCAAGCAGCGCCTCGGTCGGAGGAACATCACGGCCGGGAGGTGCTGCAGCAGAGTCCTGACAGGATTTGATCTATTTGATGCCTTTGATGCGTTTGACCCCCGGCCTCGGCACTGGAAGGAGAGCCCCTGCTCGGCCCACTCCCCGAATCCTCGTGCAGCCGCAAAAAAAAACGAACGGGTCGTTCAAAAAGGCCCGGGCCCGCCTTCTGCAGAACATCACGAAGATCCTTCTCGAAGCTATTCAGGGCGCGCAGACGACAGAGCTTCGCTGAACTTTTCCGCAGGGCCGGATTCCATGACACGAACTTCTCCCAAACGGACAAGAGCACCTTGCTGGCCTCGCTGCTCCGGGTGCTGCCGTCGTTCTTGTCGGGGTGGATCAGTAGCATCATTTGCCGATAGCTTTTAGTCACCGACAAATCAGGATACACCCTGACACCCAGCTTCCAAACGACATCCTCCCCTTCCACAGTAGGGGTCAGCACCATGGTTATGGCCGCTTCCCTCGCAGCCGCCGACATGCTCCGCACCGCTCTGAAAACCAGCAACACTTGAGCGCAAAATGCACTAAGAAGGGCGCTCGCACGGCAACAGCAAGACTGCACCTCTCGGCTTCAACTCTCGGCTCCAGGCGATGCCAAGCAGCGACGAACCAGCGAAGAGCACGCAACCTGAGAGCGAAGGAGGGGCCTGGGGTTCCCGGGACGAGGTTGGCTGCAGGGCACTCTAGTTACGGGCGGGGCGGGGAGCAGAAACAGGCACTCCTGCACGCGCACTCAGCCAGAAAACCCAAACCCGAACAAACCCTTAAGAACCCTCCGAGGGTCGGCACCGAGCAAGAAGAGGTCCGGACCTGGGCGGAGCAGGATTTAGAGAGACTGGGAGCTTAAGGGGCGAGGGCGCGCAGCAAGGCAAGAGCAGCTCTCACAGTCAGACGGTTTTTGCGCAGAGAGCCCCGGTGCCGCGACCTGTACTCGAGCCACGTGGGGCTATAATCCTAAATGCCTAAATCAGCCTCGGGTGGGCTGCCCAGCTCTCGTCGGCACTGCAACCGGATGATTCCTGGGCCTGTGCTGGCCGGTGTGAAACTCCTGCAATGCCGAGCGGAAGACTGCAGATCATCTTCTAAGGGCAGCTGCATGGTTCCCGGCTGCTCGCTGTGAAGCGAATTCCACATCACCGTAAGGATGTCGTTCTTGAGCCGAAAGAAGACCTTAGCATCTGTGTCGTAGCTGTAATTGCGAGCAGTGCCATCTTCGCCCAGAATTTGAATTTCCGCTTCTGGATCTCTTTGACCTTCAAGTCTTTGATCTGGCCCAAGTAGAGCTCCAGATCGGCACGGTTGCATGTTTCTATCTCAAGTCGGTCGTACTTGTGCTTCCGCTGCATGATGCTCAGGAGCTCCGGCGCCGAACTTGACAGCACCTCCTGGGCAACCGCGCCGACAATGGCGGCATAGACCGAAGGCATGACTAGAGACCGCTAGGGCCGCGAGGAACTTGAGAGCTTCAACGGGTCACTCCTCTACACTTCCACGCACCAGGACTCCTACCTGCGCTCGAACGGCAAAGCTTCGAAGAGGCAACGAGCTGTGCACCAAGGTCCAGGCGTTGCGAGATCGATGAAGTGGCGCCGCTGAAGACTTCGGGCCTGGGTAGGTACTAGCTTCACCCCTTGCGGTCGGTGGGTCGGGAAATGGTTCAAAGACATAGGCAACTGACGACAAAGTCAAAACAACTCAAATCCAGCTTTGGTTGGTCCAACGCCACTGGCAACATGGTTAAAAATCCCTTTGCTGATGCTTTTTCAAACCAAATGTCATCAAACATGGTCCACAAACTGGGCATTTTTTTGCACCCATGCTATTTTTGAAAATAAAAGATTTGTGGGACACCGGGTTCAGGCTGGAGGTTTTGGCAGGGTGCCGATTGGCGGCCGGCTGCGACCCGCACCCGCCTCTTCGGCGCAGCCGACTACAGTAGCACCCCAGACGGGGGAAGCTAAGAGGTGCGAAATTCCACGAGAATGAAATTCGAAATTCAATACTTTGCTACTTTGAAAGAGAAATTATTTGTAGAAGGCCTGGGCTGGGGTTTAGGCTTAGGCTGGAAGGGGTGGCCGGGTCGGGAGTCGGGAGGAAGCAAGGGGGACCGGATGGAGTGGATGGAGGTTTCGGGATTTAGGGAGGGACCAGAGGCCAGGAGTCAGGGACCAGGGACCAGGGAGGAAACCCTGAGGCTTGAGGAAACCGAGGGCTGCAAGAAGCGTCGATTCACGACTCGTGTTTTTCGGCTCAGGCCAGTTAAAGACAAAAGAGCAGAACTGACTGCAAAACTAGAACTTAGCACGAAAGAGCAGAATCAGAATTGCAAAACTAGAACGTAGCAGTCAGCTGTCAGCAGATCGTTCTCGGTTCTCGGGATGTTCGCTGTGTGGCTGCATGGTTTTCCAGATAGGCGGCAAAGCCAGGTGAACACAAAACAAGCAGATGTTCAGGCTGCCCAGGAAGGCCGGAGGCTTCAGATTCGGCTTCCGCTGCCTCAGCCAGATTAGTTCAATGCTAAAGTGAAGCAGCTTGGTTCAAAACTTAAACAACCAGATGTGTTACAGGATTCGGAGACCCGAATCAAGGTTCAAGCTGTGGCCTTGGTGCAAGCACGTTCTGTGTGGCAGGGGCCCTTGTCATGGGCATGAGTATTATCGTTTCCCCATGGATTATTTTTCTTTGCAGATCATGGATTGCCAGAAGCTTTCTCAGCCTTTCATGATTCAAAGTGTAAAGATCTGGAGGCAGCTGCGCCGCGATGCGCATGGGATAGTCTGCCCTAGAGACCTTGGTAGGTACATCGTTGGCATTGCCGATAGGACTTTGCCTTTCCATCCCCATGCACCAGGCGTTAATCTGTCGCAGATGCAGTTGCAAGCACAACCTCCGTTGTCAGTCGCCCTGTGGCGCTTGAATCACAGCATCCCGGGCGCGGCTAAAGACGTTGAAAACATATTGGTCGTGCCTTTGCCACACACACTGTTGCAGCTTGTGCTACATGGTTCATGGCACACAATTTTGGCGCTTGGCAGGTGGACCATTTTTTTTCGCTGGTCTCACGGATCTGGTGCGAAAGATTCAATCTTGCGCCCCCCGCTTGCTGCAAAGTGCGGCAAATAATGATGACAGGGCAGATCTGCAAATGGAGCTGGAGGGTTCCGTGGTGGCTTTCCTGTGTAAGGGCGGCTTTGGTTCCACCTACAGAGGTCCTAGGAAACAAGTTCGCGGCGTACTCTTCTGTATTTTTGGTGAAGATATGGTCTTGACCCGTTTGATACCTTCATATATACCGTTTAAAGAGATTGCAGCAGGGGCCCTGGGATTGCTGTTTCCGCAATTGATGCAGCATTCTATTCAGCATCTGTTGCAGGCCAAGCATGTGTTTCCTTCAAGCGCCTATAAGCATTACACCAGATTGGCCCTGGACATGGCTCTGCTTCTTTGGAGGCGGGACCTCGAGTCAGAGTCTGTAGTGGGAGATGCAGTAATAGCGGCAGGGATTTTAGTGCGACCCGGCATGTCCGGTTCACAGGAGCAGATTCATCGCCCCAACTTGGCAACAATTGGCTGAACAGCGCTACTGTGTCCATCAAATCTGATGAAGTGCTGACAGTGTTTCATGCTGTTCAACGAATGATCGTTGATTGTGGTATTCGCCAAAGAGATTCTGATTGGGAGCAGTCGGAGAGATCCATGAACGACCATGTCATCGTGCTTGAAGCTTTGCAACACATACACGACATTCCGGTTGCCCTAGGCAGCTCTGCGGAATCCACTGCCAACAAATGCGCTGCAATGTTGCACAAGTGGGCAGTGCTTCTGGGGGACAGACGGAAGTTGCCAGACTACACTGCAAGTGTGTTTTCGTTTTGTTCCGATATGGGCACAGAGCTAGGTATAGGAAAGTTCCAAGTTCAAGATCTGGAAACTTTGCTGCCAGAGTGGTTCCTTCCCAGCACCCAGGAGCCCGACTTGATGCCAGGGTTCGTGCAAGGGCTCCCCCAGCCCCAGCCTGTGCCGCAGCAGGAGGACATGGTTTTAGAGGATGATTTAGCAGGGCTCTCCCCAGCCCCAGCCGTTGCCGCCCCGGATCCCGAATCTGAACCTCAGGCTCAGCCCCAACCCGATCAAGGCCTGGCAAGGAATGAAGAAGGCAACTTTTCATTTTTGCCGAATGCACTTGCGGTACCGGGTCTGCTACACATAGTGAACAACGCTTTGGAGGAGGTTACTGGGTCTTTGGCTCATTGGGAGGCATGGTTTCAGCAATTGCAGCAGTTTGAGGCATTGTGGTCATGCGGTCGCTTGAAGCGGTTTGTGAACTACTGTGTTCGCCCGTCACCTCTGCATCACCTCGCTGAGGAATTCCTTAGCCTGCAGCTAGGCAAGCTCTACATCCATCGCTGGGGTGCTGTTGTTGCATTCTGCAAAAAATTGAGTCAGTTACTCCCAGCTATCAGGAGCTGCTGGAACCAGGCAGCGTTCATGCAGAATGCTGAAGATGCAGGAAACAGAGCGAGTGCTTTCGACATTGACAGTTTTTCTGAAACGTTGCAGGACAATTTGTTTTTCGCTTATTTCGACATGATTCTTAAGCTTAGCGGAATCATAGACGGTGTTGCACACTGGGCCGAATCATGCCCGTGTCACGATGACTGTCTGCTTGCGCAGGGAGATTATTTGCTTTTGCATCGCAGGGACCGTAGAGTCAGGCATCGTGCTCAGACCCTGGGCCGGCAGGGCCTGCGGCTTATCAGCGGTTTGTACGGTCGACGCAGTGAAACATGTCCGATGAGGGGCCGTCGCTTGCCGGAGGTTGCAGCCGATGGAGTGTTGGAGGTCTTGTCCCTCAATGCACAGTCGGCGTTCAGCGACCTGCTTCAGCGGCACAGACATCTGCTCTCAGCTGAGGATTGGGGCCGGGTCAGTGCTGATTTTGAAAAGGGCAAGGCCCGCACAGAACTAGAGTTTGACATCAAGCTGGATTGGGCTCATCGTTTGCCTTGGAAGCTTGCGTTGCTGGCGCACGAAGACCAAGCACATGCTAGACGCTCTTTGGGCAGTGCCGTTGATGATTATGACAGTCAGTCGCCGCAGCTGCAGGCACAACACCATCCCCTGACCAGGTTGATACTGTCTCCGGGTCCACTGAGGTCTGATTTGAACAATTTCTTGGCGGGCACGGCTTTGTCCCAGCTGCCTCAACTTGAGTTCTATGCGGGGTGCTTCAGATTCGTGCAAGTCACGGAGAGAGTGTATGAGGCAGCACATTCCATAGTGAAGCGACGGGCTCCCCCTAATGCAGCAGCTCCACTGGTCAGTCTGTGTTTGCGGTTGCAAGATGTGGCTCGTCTGTTGAGAATAGATTCTAAGACTTTGGTCGGCATTGCTTCGCACTTTGAGAGGGCCCGTAACATGCAGGCTGCACCGGCACTTCTGGGTTTGAGCAAGCATCCTG